TATGAAGATACCAAAGTTGTGACCCGAAATGCTGGTGAAAGGTGAGTCGCAATGTGCTAGGCAGTATTTGTTTATCTAATCTGATTTTGTTTCTTTTCAGCAAACTGGAGGGACTAAGCTACGTGGATCTGCTGTGCCACTTGCATAAAGAGATCCGAGCTCAGCTGAACTAATCTTATTTCCATTTTATTGTAACTTCTGTTTATTAGAGGCATGTTAACATTTATATTCTATTGCTATATTATAATAATAAAAAGTTTATTGTAATATGGTGTACATCAAATAGCAGAGAAAGTAAAGTAGATGCTTATAAAGTAGCTGCTGCTGCTGTGCTGCTGTTGAGCTGGAGTAACTGTGCTAGTGGCTACTAGTTGTTGATGGGCTTCCACACCTTTGAGCTGCAGTAATCATGAGCCTGAAGAAGAGAAAGGGTTAGCCAGAGGTAGGACAATGGCTTACTGCCACAAAACTTACATTACAAGCGTTGGCATGAGCTGCAGTGTGGCACCAGTAGGAGGGCCCGAAAGTGCACTTGTGGCCTCCGAGGAGGTGAACATTACCAGGAGTAAAGCAGATGTCGATTGACTGAAACAAAAACGGTGAGTGTCAAGCATAGTTAGTCAAGAAAAAATGGTACCTTGCAAATTTCCTTTGCATTGTCTTGGTGATTGATCACGTCAAANTTTAGCCAATAAAAAAATGGTACCTTGCAAATTTCCTTTGCATTGTCTTGGTGATTGATCACGTCAAAGAAGTAGGGACCAAAAGCCTTCATCATGAGAGCGCACTGATTGGGAAAAATTATTTGTTACAGCTGTTTCAAGGGCAAAAAAAGTCTTTTTACCTCGACACGGTGAGCTTGCGGCAAAGTATCGCAAGATTTCTCAATCAACGGATCCAATTCAAGGTCTTGGCTTCCGACCTGGTTGAGATTGTTGACAATATCCTGGCACATCTGGCAGCGGCGGTCATTGTGGTGGTTGGAGGTGAAGTCATTCGTGAACTTAGTTCGAGGGCAAACATGAATTTCCTTAAAGCAAAAGGTGGTCGGATCAAAAACTTCCTGAGCAATAGTCTGCATGATGATAGGACCGTACTGCTGGACAAAGTTGTCACAGCTGTTCTCGTTGATGTACCACGACACCTTCTTGCAGAAGTGGTTCATCAGAAACTCCTCAATCTGCTCCTCATTCTTGTAGTTGTACAACTCATTCTGGAGGAAGTGGGTGATGAGCTGGCACTCCACACAGACAACATTTCGGTCAACAGTGGGAAGTTCCGGCTTTTTCACGTAGTGACCGTTGATGTAGTTCAGGAAGCTCTGAGGAACGCATAGACCCACCATAGTGCAGGCCAGATTGGAGTCAATGTCCTGAGTGAGCACCTGAATCAGTCGCTTGGTGTAATCGGCGACGACAGTCTTGCAGCTTTGACGATCGCTTGAGGGAGCAAGATCGCAAACTTCGGTGAGGACATTGAGAATCTCCTGGTCAGTGGCATTGTCCTTCAGCTGGGCCTGGATAATCTTGACAAGCTTCTTGCAGATATCGCAGTTGATGTCACTCACCGGCGACTTTACTTCAGTTTCCGTCTCAGAATCCAAAGTGATGTTAAGGGGAAGAACATTGGCCAGATCAGTGGCGGATGGAAGCAGAACCGTGTTTACAGGCGAAAGAGGACCAGTTCGAGCGGCGCAAACGTTCAGCGACTTGCACAGTTGTCTTGGCTGGAAATTCGTGTTGATGAAGGCGACCAGTTGATCGACGTAGTCATCAGTCAAGCTCAGACACTGGCAAGAGTGGAAAGTAAACAGAAAAGTGAGATAAGGAACACAGTCAGTTGATTGTGCAGACGGCGGCAATGTAAAGGCAGACGAAACTAACCTCCTTCTCAAAGCTTCCCAGTGAGTGACAGCCATCCTCGAGTATGGTTTTGATCTCAATCTCAGTGGGGCTACCAGAAAGGATCTCTTTCACTTTGGTTGTCACAAAGACGCAGAAATCACAGTCCTCCTTTCCTTCAATATTCTGAAGCTCTCGAATGCCGTTATCGTTTTCGTCAATGCAAGCATTGATATCGTAGCAAACAGTGCTCGTATTCTGTTCAAGCAGTCAATGACAGTCGGTTAGTGAATCAAAGTCAAAGTCAGACTTGAACGCTTACCAAGTTTTTGTTCATCACATTGAAAAAGGCATCCACAGATTTGAGGCACTGCAAGGAAAGGTGTTGGTAACTAAAATTTCTCCAGGACTTGCAGTCATGTGACATGACAACATACCCAGCTTTTCGCCTGCTTTCCAGACATGGAGTACTCGCTGCACAGATCAGCAAGCTGTCCCTTCACATTCTCGTCGGCATTGTGGGTGACTTTAGAGACAAAGTTGAAGATGCTCTTGCAGGCCTGGCACTGGTCAGCGTAGGTAGTTGTACCTGTATTCAAGTCACGTGTTGTTATGACAGTTGAGTTGCCAGGTTAGGACACGATATTCCACTTACCGGCTAGGCCGATGAACGAAACAACCGCTAAGAGAAGGCGAAACTTCATCTTGGCGAACGGCAAAGAGGAAGAATGAATGGTGATCAGAAGAGAGCAAGCTGTAGAACGAACTGACGAGAGTTGTTGACGAAAAAGTGAAGAGCGACGCAAAATCAAACCGAGGCAGATGAGCGAGTTTTATAACAAACACACAGCGAGAGAGTTGCGCACTGCGGCAGAGCGGCAAGAGGAGAAATCGTTCGGCTGATGAATCCTACACTCTCGCTGCTGCTCTTGCAGGCGTCGTCAAGGGACCAAGCTGACAGTGCCTTTGCCAGTGCTCTGCCCCTCCAATGGCCGCCGCCTTTCTACGTCGTATCGGCCACCAGACAGTGCTCTGCCACGCTCTGTATCAGCACTGATACGGAGAGAGATATTCGCGGTGAAAAAAAATACTCCGAAGTGTTCAACAGGCAAAAGTGTCATGCGTTTGATCAGGGCTTGAGCTTCAGCTGCGCCGGTCGATACCTTTCTGGCTGGCTTTAAAAGGGGTCATAAACGTAGATCTACTCTTAAATGTCAGAATTAAGGACTTTTTTGCGATCGTTCTGCCTTCCTCCCCTAGAGCAATCAGACCGGTCTTATCAGTAGAGCAGTACTATTTCTTTTGTAGAATGTGCACCAAAGGAGATGTGGCCACCACAACCGCCATCAGTAGTACTCAGTAAATGTTTGCTTGGTGACGTCTCCCATTGCACCAATCTTTGATTTGCCGTCTTCAGATTTGCTGCCTCAAAGAAGTCGCTTTTACTTGTTGCACGCCTGATGGACTTGGCAGTGAGACACAGCCAGTCACTTGACTGCAGTTGGCAAATAAATTACAGTTAAGAAGTGGCTGTAGTTGACTTGGAGAGTTAATTCAAATGTAATATTGAATTTCCGCCATCATATTTTGAGATGCGATTTACGCGCGCATCCATCCATTCGCATTTTGATTGTCGCCTGCGTTACTGTTTTTGTTTTCTCCTGTTGCTAGGTACTGCCTGGTTTTTCAAACACTAAATGATGCATATGGACTACAAGTCTGTGACACTGTTGCTCCAAGCATCATCATCATCACCGATTATTGGAAATTCATTTGCTCTATCTGAAGGCAATCAGTTACTGGAAAAGGTGACTGATTTTCGAATGAACCATTTTAATCCATTCCTGATGTACAACTAGTTTGAGCGTGATTAAACCCTGTGATTTAGCCATGAGCAGACGTTGCGACTGGTGAAGTGATGATGAGTGCCGAGTGCTGCAGCTGCCACAAGTTGCCTGCTTTTCAGTGCTTGCATCCACTGTTGATCAACAGGCACTGCCGTGGTGGTGGTGGTAGTGGTGATGATGTCTGAGTCAGAGGACGGAGAGTGGCATGGAGGGAAGCATTGTACAGCGTCGCATCGAGGTGCTATCTGCGAGGAGCTACGAGCACCACTGCCGTAGCACTACACAGGCAGGCGCGATAGTGCTTGTCGATGGGATGATTGTGGTGATTGTGTGCATGTGTCCGTGTGTCTGCGATGTCTCCACCAGGGCTGCCAGTGTTGTCGTCCTCTTCGTGCTTCATTCACTACTCTCCTCGGCGCTGGTTCAACTCTGCCACCTCTTCGGACCACGCGAAAACAAGTGAACTTCAGTGTACAGGCGGGAAAGGTGTCAGTGCTGCAGATGATGCTCTCCTCCCAAAATGCCGATCTAACCTCTGAGGACGAGGACAGCGACCAGAAGTCGGGCACCAGCTACAAGGAACGACGCCGAGAGGCGCACACACAGGCTGAACAGAAGCGTCGTGATGCCATCAAGAAGGGCTACGAGGACCTGCAGGTGCTGGTGCCCAGCTGCACTCAACAGGACAGTGTCTCCTCGTACAAGCTGAGCAAGGCGGCCATCCTCCAGCGCAGCATCGAGTACATTCAGACGCTGCAGCAGCAGAAGCACAAGCGGGACAAGGACTTGCAGATGCTTCGTAAGGATGTCCTAGGCCAGGAGATCATGAAGAGCAACTACGAAGACATGGTCAAGCAGCACCAGCAGACGCAACAGCAGAGCTGCCTCAACTACAACGCACAGATGATCTCCGATGAGACCAAGTTTGAGGTGTTCAAGGCAGTCTGCGACAATCTCTTTCACTCATTCGACTCATCAGTGCAGGTGAACAATTTCAGTGAACTGTCCGCCTGCACAATTGGCTGGCTGGAGGAGCACTGCAAACCGCAGAACCTTCGGCAGATTATCCACGGCATCTTGGAACAGCTCAAAAATCAGCTTCCCTAGCTACAACTACTTTATCTGATCTGTTTTTATATAAAATTGTACAAATTCTTATGTAATAAAGTTTCAAGACAATTCAAC